AATCTTCCGCTCCTCTCCTCTATAGATGATAGAAGCCCAATCCAACGCGCGCGCACGCTGGTAGAAACGTCGAAGTCTGAAAACTGCCCCTCTCGCTCTCTGCAGCATACTGTACTTTCCCGGCGAGACCGAGGTGCGCGCCAGGCCAGCCTACCTATGAAATCGAACAGAATGAACGCTATAGCCAGTGAATCGATCACCGAACGCGTTACTAACCTAAGCAACCTGGCAGGTAAAAGCATTGCGCGTTCATAGTGCGGCCAACGACTAGGTCCGCGTCAACATCGGTGTTGGAACGGCGAAGTGTACGCTCATGTCAGAGACAGCTAGACTGGCACAGATGCATTTACTCTGAAACTGAAATTGTGCTTTTTTCTAAGGGTAGTGATTTTTTATGATTTTGGTACACCGCCTTATAAGGAGTGGAGTTCACCTCCTCACTTGCAATTGCGAAACAAAGATTTTATGCACAATGCTTCACTTTTTATCCTTTCGCTATCAGCCGCACTTCACTGCATGAGGAAAGAATAACACACTAGAGAAATTGATAGCTTTTCTTTCATTCACTCTTGCTTGGGGGATAGCGCGAAGGTCTAAAGTTTTCTTGGAAAATCGATTGAGTTCAGTTTTGGGTGACCAAATTCGCTGCAGAACTGCGTTTGGTAGTTTTGATATCAGAGGTTTAAAGCTCAGGTCGGACACATGTTTGCTTTCTTTAGTAAAAGAGATTTTCCAGGTCATGTCTCTGTTCCTGCAGGACCAGCAAAGAACTGCAACGTTTCTCGAAGCAATGATGAAGCCATTGCTAAAGTATACAACAATGATATGCTTATGCGTCATATAGTGAGCTTTGTGACAGATATCAATGTGAGTCAGTACTTTCTTAGAAGCCATCTTTATATTGTTGTGCTAGTTCCTCCCTTTTCCTTGTTTTGCAATTCGGTTTCTTTTTGTTCAAGGACAGAATTCATATCGAACTGAGCTCCGCGAGGCTCCGGTTCATCAGCAGAACATCTATATGGCGTTTCAAATCAGGAGGTGAAACCCTATCTCTTAGCTACAAGGCACGTTCTTTTTCATCCCTTCTACCTAGACTGTTCAGAGCAAGGATGAATATATTTTTGTGCTTTCTATTGGGCTGGCATATTGAGATGATATTTTGAGAGTGGCTCATTGAGTAAAAAGGCTTCTGCCTCTCATCAATCCCGCTTTAGAGAATACGCCCTTCACTCGACTCCCCTGCTGAGTTGCAGTGGCGTTTTGAATGCGAATGTGGCCTACAACATGACTTGTCGCGGTCAGCGTTTGTAGTAATCATTGTTTTCATACTTTCACATCAGCCTGCTACCAGGTCCTCGAGCTGGAAATTATGGGAACCATAGATAGCGTGTGCGGTTATCGATTCGATATTCGGTCCCCAACCCTTGCGTGTGGTAATGTGCTTCACTTGCTGATAGCATTAGTAGTACAGAAATCAGTGGATAGGTCTTCTGTGGTTCATGAGTGCCTATATTCCCCAAGAAACAGCTTCTGATCCAGTTACCTGTACTCATTTTTTTAACCTCAATCGGAATAAAAATGGCAAGGCTTTTCCCCAATTCTAATTTGTAAAGAAGCGCAGTTGTGTTGTTGAGTGGTGGCTCAGTTGCTTCTAAAATTTTGGTGAGATTTTCTTCTTCATCACAGAAAACACAACTAAACTCGGTTTTAACAGTTTAAAAGCAAAATCGTTAGTAGCAAGCGCAATCGAATGTGTTCGACGCCCCCGGCATTACTCTTCTGTCTTCAGTGGATTCTGCCCAAAAAGTTCCATTTTGCAGACCTTGAACTCATACGTATCTGTTGAAATCGGTGATGTGTGGTTTGTTTTGCCATCAACGACTTTGGACAATCGTAGGGACAAGAATAAACGTTGTACGACTCAGCCGTTGAAATTGAGTGAGTCGTGCTTTTTTTTGAATACGATGACTTTTATTTAAGTTTCACAAACCAAGATAGGACCAATTTTCTTTTTGAGGTTCATGACTCATAATTCTTCATTAGTCTGAGAATAGGCTGAAAGAAGGGCTGACAAATGACTGAGCAGTTTTTGCAGTGAACACTTTGTACGGAATGGCTGAACGATTTGCATTGGGAATTACGAACGTCAGACTTGGTGGGGCAGAGCTGTGGAGTGCCGGAGTTCAGAACCACCAAGTAAGCTTAGTAAAAGTCACCTATGTCTGTGAGTCCACTTTTTAGTATTCACGTGTTTTTATCGCTATGTTTTTATCTCCAACTAGAACACACCTTATTTTTCCAGTTAATTGTGACAGCTGATCTTCTCCGCTTTATCAATGACAGATTGAAAAACCTCAGATCGATCTCATTTCGGCATTGCGGCTTCGATGAATGTGCCATGGGATATCGTGAGTTAGTTCCTTTAATGAGAACAACATTGGAAGACGTGCGCAGTCATTCTTTCAGACCATTTTTCATCATAGTTTTGATTTCTAGTTTCGTCAATGGAGTGTTCGCTTCCTGATCGGATACGAGAATTATCTATTTGTGGCGTTTGGTTCGACAGAAACCCATTGATCTCAGAATTTTCGGTAAGGCGTTGTATGTTCGGTAGTGTCTTAAGAGGCGAAGTTTCTCATCCTGCTGATGCGTGTGAGAAATTTCATGGGTTCCCTGTACGCTTAAGCTGTAGTGTTAAGCTATTCGAGGAGAAGCACGCGGGTAGTGCGTACCCGCACACATTGGTACGTTGGTGCTGCTCTGCGGCCCCGCTATAAGCCGAGTTCCTTAAGGTATAGTTCTTGGCAGTTGGGCTATTGCTCCGCTCTCTCTGGGCTACATCAGCAAAGAACCCACTGAAAGCGTTTGCGCTTACCTTTAGTGTAGGTTAAAGCGTTTTACCGCCAAGATGACGTGGGAGTGCTAGAGAAGTTACTATATCGCATTGCCCGTTCTTCGATATCGAGACCCTGTGGATGCCAAGTATTCTATCACTGTTTCTCGGCATTTTCAGAATTTGATACGAATCATTTCAGAGGCTAATAACTCCTTCCCTGCGCGTGTTGAAGTTGGAGACCTTCAAAGTAGGACAGTTAGGTTCCATGTTGTTAGACCGAGTGCGAAATCAACAAATGGTTCTTGATGACATCCACATCCAGCTAAGTCCGTCGTCTTTACAGTAGGTTTGGTTATTACTTTTCTTTTTTTTATGAAATCTTATTCGTGTACACTTTTGGTGCCGATAGGACCCTGTGCTCACCACCTTTGCTCATGTGGTGGAAATTTTGGGCGTGTTAAGTAGTCAGTATCGTTTTTGGGTGAGCGTTTGCAGACATTTTGAATGTTTGTGTATTTTTGTTTGATAATTTCTTTGAGGGCATTAGTGTGAATCACAGAGTAACGACTGCAGCTTTTTCTATGTCTTTATAATCATCTACTGCTATATAGTATTGAGGAGCATTTTAGTACCATAGATCTCAGTATTGTTGATCGAGTGAAACAGTCGCATTATCTATTTGTTCAGAGGAGTATCGGTAAATGCTCTCCGAAATTTCCTCAACGACGTGTCTGCAGTTACTCGGGAATTTCGCATTGATGTACATAGTCCTCGTCGAAGTGGCGAAATCCTGCTGTTTGCTATTCGAAATATAACATTCTTGACAAACGTAAGTGGTTGTGGCTTATCCACATTCTCTTTAGTAGGGTGTGGCTAGTAGACCTTCTTCTGCCTTCCTCTATGCTCGACAATCAACGTATTCTCGCCCCTTCGATATTGCTAACATAGTGTTGCAGATCGCAGAACTTCGGCTCTTTGTGCAGCCGTCAAGCCGTACAGAAGCTGAAAATGTCACCCATATTTTCAATCGTGAGTTGGCCAATTGACGATGGATGTATTCGTGCGTGCCTTTGATGTTTTCTCGTGTCATGAATATTCCAGGACCTAGATTTTCTGTGAGAAACTTGAAATTTCGTTGCTTTTCATGCTTATATGAAAGCATTATAGTTTAAAATATGAGAGCAGTGCGCAATTTTCATTCCTAAAACCATAACGGGCAGTCTACCGGTTCACGGTATTCACACAATGAATGTGAGACAGAGACTGCCACTAAAAGCGACCCTCTGAGGTCCCCATCGTGCAAAAACGGTGGATGTCGTATCCTATGGCAAACTCGTACTATTATTTATTCGTCGATAAGTAAATAATCGATAGACAGTGCAGGTCTTGTGAGTGAGCAAGACAACGTCGAAACCAATAAGAGCTTTGCTAATTGTTGAACTGTCATAATCTCAGTATCTTCCAGATCTTGGCAAGTTGCCTAACCTACGGAAATTTGCGTGTGGGAACTGGAAGAGCTACGATGTCACTGCTGCACTGAGTAACGGATTGAGATTCTGCTTTCTCCTACGTGATCTTGAAATTTGGTGAGTTTTTTGGGAATGCCTTTATACTTCATGCTTAAACACTCGCTTTTAATTTGTTCCATTTGTAAGGGAGATATTTGTACAATTTTTTTTTACCTCAACTTCTTTCAAGGAATATCTATGCAAGTGTAAATGACGAATTGACGATGTTGTTATCTGGAATTCCATCCAACATTCAGATCCTTTACTTAAGATCTCTACCAATCACTGATACAGATATAGTAGATTTATGTCAGGTATTTGTTGGATCAATTCTGGAGGTATGTTTTTCAGTCATGCTACAATTTCAGAGATTGAGCTGTCTCACTAACTTGCGACTGGCAAAACTTTCAAGAATTTCTTCAAGAGGGATTTTCCAGGTGACTGCTGCTGTATTTTCTTGAATCCTTTGTTTTTATGCTCCTATTCAATGCGTGGGGCTCCACTCTTTTTTCTTCAAATTGCCTTTCCAAGGATGTGATCCACTTGAATTACTTTGCACAGTGTTTCAGTCGCTATCAAAACTCCGGCAATTAGAAGTCTTGAAAAGTTCAGTTCCCGTTAACTCTATGGTGCTTCGATTCCTGACGAACAATACGATTCTACGAGAGTTGAGGAAATTTACTGTTGTCGTCACGACAGGAACTCCTGAGCACTACATTGACACGGTCTGAACCTTAATCGGATTTCATTGCGACTTCTCCGTTCTTGTTCTTTCCCATGATAGTTTAACCAATCTATATTTCAGCTGTCTCAGCACTTTGCTAGTGTCCACTGTTCAAGGCATTACGGTAATCAACGATGGTGCTATGTGGAAGTCGAGGGACGCAAACTGCGGAGTTAATCATCGCTTTGTGGCTATCCGTTTTTTCCATTACTCTCAGGTGAGTGTTTATGTGATTTTTTTGTTTATTTAGAAACAAACATTTGAGGGCAAGTCATGTGGGCTAGGTCGATTATGAATAAAAACGAAAGTGTGTTCATAAGTGATGCTCAAAAGTGACACAAGTATATCCTCGCTGAAAAATAGTGTGAAAAAAACAACTGCCTCATTCCTGAAAAAGTCCCTCGTTTCCACACTTGGAAATGTTTTCGGAAATGTTAAAGAACAGGTTTATAAAAGGACTCTTACAACCACTAGAGAAGGGATCGGAGTTTACACCTCTCTTATTCAGGGTTTTCAATACCCTCCCTGAAATTTCCTAGATACTGCTGCAGGGAGTGGGTAACGGAACTTCTCCACGATTGCGGCATTCTCCTTTGCGGCATGCGGCAAATGTCACTGCAATTACCGTACTCACCTCGCCTCCCCGCCAATCGATAGTACGCAATATATTTCGTTGATTGCCTTTCTTTTTCATTAGATTTGATCGTTTTTTACCTGTTTCTTTTTCTTTTTCGTGTTTATCAGGCTCAATTACTTAGAATAACTCCTCGTATGTTAGCGACGATCAAGACCGCCTTGGAATTGAAGAGAGCGGCCAGCCAATTCAAAAAATTAAAGGACTCTCTATCTGACAAATAGCGCTCTCCAATCTTTCATCGCAATCCTGCGATACGCTTCGGGTGCGGCGTGCGCGATGCCGTTTACGGGGAGAAGATTACGGACCCGCAGGGACTGGTCCCTTAGTTCCTGGGCTGCCCAAAAGACTGGCTGGAGTTCTAGAAAGACGATCTTTGTTGAATGAGTAGTGTCTCCTAATCTGACCTCATCTGAAATTTCCGCTAAAGAGCATCAGCAACGTCTAAAACGGTCTAATCGAGTGATCAATGGAACGCCTTTGCAGAAAAACCAACGGCGGAAGCGAGTCGAGTTCTCTTTCAAGAATGTACCAGATGGCTTCACCTAAGGTGTGATTTACTTATGTTTTGATGTGAATTTTATAAGTTTTCTTCTCTTCCTTAGTCGTAGGCATTGTGATTCCACTGTACAACAATCCTTCCTTTTCAGGAAATGTTCTTTACTGGAGTTTGCTATTCCTGCCTATCGCAATCCATCATTCTGAACAGAGCTTCTCTACGGGTCAAATCCTCGTTAGCATTTGCTATGAAAGACCAAGGATAAAAGTTGCAGTTACAACATTAGGCTTTAAATGGATTTCTTTATTTCTACAGTTCTTTCTCAAATTCATCAAGTTGTGATATTATGGAATTTGGTTCTAATTTTAATTGCTCGAGCTCAATAAGTTATGGTGTTTTATATATCTAGTCTATTTCAATAACGGCTACATTGCGTATTTCCCTATTCATTTGATCTAGATTAATTTATTACTAGTACACTTACCTGCTTTCGCTTTGGATTAATAGCGGTCGCTTTCTAACAAGTGACAAAAGTGACCGCCTTCGAACCTTTGGTTTTCCACTCGTGAAACTCGTGGCAAGATGGTGAACTCGTCAAGGTTGCTTAAATTCCTTCCATTGTTTAAGTTAATAAATCGCTCTATCTGAGCCTATTTATTTCCGTTCTTTTGTTTCTCGTTTACTAATCCATCAATTAATCTGTTTGAATTGAAATTTGGCCCATTGTAATGGGTTACAGCTTCAAGCTAGAATCACTGCCAATTGTACTCCTACTTTGGCTTTGGCAAGTTATAGCTTTTTTCATTCTCGAATCGGTTGTGAGTAACGAAAGTGCTCGGTCAATCATTCTGTATGCGCCGTGTATCCGACCTCCACAAGAGGTCAAAGGCCATGATTGGCTTATACAAGAACATGTGATAGTGAATGACTCACTAATGCGACTTTACGGCTACAACTAAGTGCATCGGTTGTTTGAAGCAATACTTCTAGTCGGATGGGGTCTTTGGACCGATGCTATGGGGCCAAAGGCCTGTTTGTCTCAAACAGTGCTTGAATCGAGGTGTGTCGGGCCTTAGAGGAATGAAAACTCAGTAGTGTAATCTCGTTCTCACAATGATCCACGGCGGAATAAATCTCCTCACACGGCTGGAACCTGTCTCTAGAAATCATAGTGACAGAAATCGAAAGTGACATTGACTCTACCAATCTTCAGAGAGCTATTGATTTTGTTAAGGAGTGGTCCAAAACATGGGAGC